TTCCCAATGGTGTATTGTCTTAATAAATGATACACTAGTTTTTTGATGTTATTAACCATCACATACATACACACTCATAATATATATGGCTATTATTAGTGAAGTGTACTCTATATATGTTTGTCCCTAATATTAAGGATAGTTTAATATTTTAAACAAAAAATACTAGAAAAAAATCAAAGTTTTTTTGTTACTAATTTTATTTTATTTATTGCCATTTGTATTTATAATAAAAAAAAATCTAGAAAAAAAACATTATTTGTATAATCAAGTATATTGACAACAAATTATCATAAACTATTAAATGTCAAATAAAATTTAAATAAATAAATAAATACATTAAGTAACTGTATATATAGTATATTGATTTCATCAAATATGATGATCAATTCAAATGTAATTTTTTTTGGTCAAAAAAATCCATAAAAATTATGATAACGTTCAGACTGATGACGGCGCGGTTGATGTCATTAACTAATATATATATATATACAGTATATATATAGTATAATATATATATATATATATATATTGAAGGGTTGGGCTTTTTTATAACTACGGTTTTTTGCCGGTTATTTGTGCGATATTTTCAAAAAAAAATTGATTGATTGTATAGCCATTTATATACATACAGGCGATACACCATTTAGTTGATTGAACATAACGTTTTCAAGCAATTACTCTCTTCTCTCTCTTTCTCTCTCTCTCTCTYTCTCTCTCTCTCTCTCTCTCTCTCTCTCTATTTTTCTCTCTCTCTCTCACTCACTCTCTCGCCTCTCCATCATCTCTATACATGTCTTGAAAAAATATATAATAATTTAGAGATTATAGATTTTTGTCGGATATACTTATATACTACCAAAAAGAAAAATCAGTTCAATATGTATTGGTCTACAATATTTGGTATACAAACAAACAAAACTAAAATAAAGCAAACTATTGTTTAATGGGCAGTGTTTTTGAGGTATTAAATGATTTATATATATACATATACTATATGTTATATTTATACAGTTAATATTATAAAATTACACTATTATGTATTTTATATATTTTACTTTAAAAAATTAATGAAAATTAACATTTTATTTTTCGAAATATAAAGTTATTTATCGATTTCTCAAAATATACATTAATATTAAGATTTTTTTATTATTACAATTTCTACATAATCTAAATTTTTCTATATATATATATATATATATATATATATATATATATATATATATTAAATACAATATATTTGAAATTGTTGAAAATTTATGACAATTTTAATCTGGCCTGCAATTTAGTATATATATATATATATATGAATTTCAGCAAAAAAAATTACAGTTACATTATATTTCAAACTCATTTATTTTAATACATTTTGATAAATTTTTTTTACTAATGTATATAATTTATATACAACTATATATTTTAATATATGACCGATCAATACGTTTGTGTGTCTCATTAAACTTTTATTTTTATATATATGAATTTTTTTTGGGGATATTATTTTGTCAAACATTATATACACTATTAGCACAACTGTTATATATATATCGTATAATATAAATGACAGCAATTTATAAGGGGTTACGAAACGAAAATGAAATGAAATCGTAAAACAATTTTCATATTTTTTTTTAGTTCAAAGTTTTTTTTATATATATTGTTGGTTGCAATCAATCGATGTTCAAAATGTGTAACATTATATACAATATATAACACACACACACACACAAAAACTTAAAAGTAAAATTGTCTTAAAAAAAATTTTTGAACACACATTTTACACACACTATATGATACTCACAATGTATTTTTTCAATGAATGAAAATCATAGGCAACAAAAAAATAGACACATATATACAAATGATATGTGATTTGTGTCTCAAAAAATATATATATTTATAATATATAACTGAAAATCGAAAAATACATTTTTTTTTGAAAAAAATTGATTTTAAAGTTCAATTCATTCACAGTTATATAAAGTTTTTATTTTTATAA